CTATGGGATTTGAAAAAGCGAAGTCTTTGTAAGTTATATCTCATAATAAAAATTTGAATTCCGTAGTTCGAACTAGCTCTGTAGTATACGAAGTAGGTACGGATTGCGAATCGGGAATCGCGGGGCCCACTGACGCACAGTATCGCATTAGCAAGCGTACGCTGGGATCTCCCGTCACCGACGCGCAGAAAAAAAGCCAAAGAATTAGCAGTTCTTTATTGAAGAGAAACAATGAGATTAAATAACAATTACAAATTAATATTATTGTTTATACTGGTCTCCACCAATGGCCTGCTTGTATTCTCGATGTCATACAGCTTCTGTCTAGACTGTACAACTTCTGATTGGTCGGCGCGATTGGCTTGTGGTTTGTTGTGCGGAAACTGCAACGCGTCGGTCTGTGACTGGAGTTATCCCGTAGGCTAGGATCAACACCAGCTCTCGTCGTTCTATAGCATTAAACCAAACGAGTGATCACAATTGTTATTGTCATTTGACAGATTCACGGCGGAAAAGTTAACACTCGGGGCCTTTTATGGTCCCATTTCTCTGTGACTAGACAGTAAATTTCCACGACGCAGTTTTCATCTGACGTGTTGAACCCAACTACTGTGGGACGGTCAAACAAAAAACGTGGATTATTCTTGTCCAGACCAACACGGCGAAGTTGGGTTTGGAATTTCTCGACATGTGGCGCTAATGGATACCCGATTGTGCCGATTTAGCTGTGGATCGTCGTACGCAAGAAGTTGTTTTCTGGGCTATCTTCAGGACTGACTAATCTTCAAACAGGACATAGTCCCGTAAAAGTGAAAGTAATTAAATATCCGTTTTTCTTCAACTCACCCCAGGCTAACAAACCGAAATTGAGTCGCTTCCAACTCCGCAAATGCATCGCTCGATTCATTCGAGCCTATTCGTCAACACCGATAGTGTGGTCGGGGCACGCAACTGAGTCAATAATTGGACGCGGAGTTGAAAGTGTACTCAAGGTACGGTTTCGGGAGCGGATAGTCTCTGAAAAATCTTCACAATACTGAGCATACCACCGTCAGCTCGTTCTCCCCCTTAGGAAATTCTTAAATGGAACATGATGTATGAAAGTACAACTAAATCAAGCACAATGAAGACATCGCCCGAAGTTTCACAGATGTGAGTGAAGTGATCGGCAACTGGACGACCTAATGAAACTGTGAAACCTTAATTAAGATCATACCCAAACCAACCAACCGAGGCAGTTGCGAAATTGGGAACCGCGGCTGAGAAAATGCAAATACAAATACTAACTTGTCTTTTTTCAGTCCACGTTAGTCAGACCGGTTCCTATGGCGATCACAAGTACATTACTTCACTTAAGTCCTCAATTCATACGTAAAACATGAGGTGAGGCTCGGAAAGGATGGGCACCAAGATGATACGGAGAACGCGTTTCAATATTTATGAGCAGACTCAGTGGTATTGTATTCGACTCGGAGATCTGATTTTGTTCTGTTGAATGCCGTAGAGCTTTGATGAGTCATGCCGTTCGACGCTAGCAGTATTGCTAAAAGTCCATTGCAGTGATTCCTTCGGGGTGAGACATTGACGTGCCTTATACTTTAACACCCGTCAAACTACGCACAACGATGGAATGAAATTACATACCATGTGATATTGCACCTCGCGAAATGCTCCCATGCGATCAAGTGTCTTAAATAGCTTCTGCTAAGGAAGCCCTTCACACTACCTTTTCGTTGCGGAGCTGTTTTTTCACCAAAGTGAGGGGACGGAAAGCTAAAATCGCTGAATCTAAGCCAACCGAGAAGAGTAGTACAAACCACACCCACCCAAACATTCGTGGCTGTGGTATTGGTCACCGATTTTTAACTCCATGAGAAAATTTACCTGCTTTGGCCCGGGCAACCAAGCAGAGTCACGTCCACAAGCAACTCCCCGATCTTTTTTTCTTTATTTTTTTTGTTTGTAAAGATTATTGTCTGACACATAGTCTAGCCCCCTATGTGTGTGTGAAAATATAAATGAGATACTTTTTAAATCGAGGACTGTGAATTACATTTTTCTCCTGATTTATTTGTGAGAATACCCTGAAGGGCAGAAAGCAAGGTTTGGGAATATTTGTGCTAGTGAAATCCATCTTGACGGAGCTATCGCAAAATTACATCTCTTGTGGTGTTGCATTACTTGCCGTGTAACTTAATTCTCCCGCAACTGTGCGTTTATGAGCATATTGTGCTATTGAAAGATATGAAAATTATGCGATTCGTACACTAAGCCCGATTGATGCATGATTTCAGACAAAACCTCACGATCGATGGTGGATAACGAGATTCGTTTGCTCAACCCATTGGTTTCCAGGTGCCTGGGAAGATGAGGTTGAAAAAATCTCGTAACATTCACTTGCTCAAAGTGATGTATCGATCGGTGGATTTGAACAGTTCGAACAACTAGGATTAGGAGTGAAATGTAGCAAGAAAACTCTTTAGATTGATGGGGGGGGAGGAGGAAGGTATGTCACATTTCGAATTTAGCGCACTACAACTTCATCAGGGACCACTGAGGAGCGGGAATCGAGCTTCTTTCGGATTGAGTATGTCCACCAGAAAATACAACGTTCCGGCCAAACCTGGAAGGATAGACAAAAAAGAGCAGAACGTATCATTGTTTTTTGGCAGGAGTGGCCGGTGAAAAACGTCCTCAACGTATTTGACCTAACAACTGAACTCAGTGAAAAGCGGACGGTGTATGAGTATGTTTTAAAAAATTAGTTTCTGCAGTCAGTGTGTGACCAAACGAATCTCGGATTGAGCGTAAAGCTGTCATCATTGGAGTATTTGCAGGGTAGCTTTCACCTTCTATTTTCTTTCAAATTCAATTTCTGTTGGTTCTATCCCTGAAATAAAGTCGTAGTTTTACTGAGCACTCAGGTAAAAAGCTGTGCGACTTGGAATACATGTAATATACTGTCTGGTTGATGTGCAGTCGCAAAACGTCCGGAAATTTCGGTACTTGATCAGCGACATGTCTACCTTCACCACGCTCAGTACTAAACTCCTTTTGGTATTAGTTAAAGAAATGTGGTAGCCGAAAGACACCAACCAGGACCAGCACACGGAATTTCGAGGTAATTTCCTGAATATTCCGCTTGTGACATCTAGAAAACATACTAGCAAGCAAAGCGAGTTTTTGACAAACTCTTCTTTGGGCGAATAAAGTAATACACAGGGCTCGAAATTGTAGATTACGTGTAATGCTCCAATGTGATGCAAATGACTAGTTGCTTGTGACGTGATATACGATTTGGAAATGAGGGAGTGGATTTTCGTTGTTGTTGTTGTTGTTGCTGCTGCTCATATGCAATAAATTGAGTGATCTGTTTGCGTCCATGGGTTATGCCAGTCGTCTGCATCGAGTTGAGGCCAAGCAGGATAAGCGAAGTGACTAGAGGAATCGCTNAACAAAGGAACAGAATAAGTAGGCCACCGCGTCAGCTGTAGAAAGCTGCCGTTGAAGAACCAAACCGGCTGGAGTTCCTTGATTCTTCGCAATAATTCTCTGACCATTCCATCTCAATAGGTTGCCAAAAATGGGCAAAGAAAGTAGACAAATGAACATAGATTGAGAGAGAATAGTCATTGCAGCTTTAGGTTTACGGAAACCATTCCTCGGCTTGTGAATCGGGTGCGTAGCGTTGCAGCAGGAAAAGTAGCGATCGCCTTTTCTAATCGACATTTTAGCAATTGACACTAACAGTCTCCTTTGAAAGGAGTCTCGTGAAGAGTCTTTTCTTTTTCACTGTTGTCAATAGTGTCCCCGAAGGCCGTTTTCCCGGATTCTTCAGAATGAATGTTCACAAATGTAATCTTGTAGAAGAGATTCGAGTGTTGGCCTATGATTTATAGTAATTGTTGTGCCTACGGGCAGAAACACTGAAAGGCATACCCCTAAGTGGCGTGAAAAATGATCCCACGCAGTCGGTGCGCTTATTTCGCCAAACCAATTCTTTATGTGGAAATCGTTTTGAAATACACTGACTCCAAAATAATTAGGAATGACTGATAGTTATGTGACAAAATACAGTGAAAGAACGTTTATCATGGGACAGAATCTCACATCGGTTGCAATGCTGCACTGTTCAGTTTGGGGTATCAAACCATGGAAACAGTGACTAAATATCGAGAAAAGTAGAGGTAATCTCATTTTTCAGGGAAATTCTTTTGATCTCCAAATGAAATAGAGTTAGGATATAGAACTCCAGAACGAGAACCCCGTGTTGTAAGGCGTGAGAGCAAACCGACTTGGTAAAAGACAAAAATCAATGCCGGAAGTTGGAGNACAGAGAAAAAGGGGGATTTTGCCACCATTGTTCTGGGATGCACTCAAATTGGCGCAAATGCATTAAACGATTGAACCAAATTGGACTCGAGCCAATTAATACTTAGGGATATTTTAAAGCACAAGTCAATGAGGAGTGAAATATCTGCTCGCAAGTGTTGCATCTGTCGTAATGATGCGGGAAAATAATTGGACAGACTTCCAAATGCGAGTAACTGGTCAACCAGTATTTCAGACAGTCGGAAAGAGAAAAGAACTCTTACCCTCGAACAGAGAGAACGGTCGATCGGCAATACGTGTACGATTCTTTGTATAATCTGTGCACCATTCAGCGAACTGAAAACCAGCAATGAAAGCAAGATGACAGATGAATCAATGATGGAGACATTAGTAATGAATGCACTGATTAAAGTAAATCTGTACAGAGGGGTTTGGTGCAATAATGTACCCCGAAGGTTGCACTGTGATGAAGCTAGTACAGCGATTTGTGACGAAAGTGAAAATAATTCGATCTGTGTCAGAATTGTGAAATCCACGACTTATCACCCATTGAGGTCAGACGTGAAGTTAATGTTCCATTTGATAGGTGTGATGAGTATCGCTTAGCCATAGACAAGTCGGACCGGTGTAGTTTCAGTTTTACATCCTTTAACGAAGCACATTTAGTCAAGGCGATTTTCGTGGATGTCTTTTGAATGGATTGAAGGAGTACACGGAGGATTGGAATGTTCAAATCAGTGTAGGGGCGAAAAGGGAGAATCCCGGTGGACCAAGATTGCAAGGAAATTGCATAGATGCCCATATTTTTACGAAGCTAAGCCATATTATCACTCAGTGTTTATAACCATCTGACCATGCTGATTCCGACTTCCGAATCCAGGAGGTCTAACGTGGTCCATATGACCGAGTCTCTTGGTGAGGGTTTTCATACCCCTACGACAGATCTTAGTTTGACCACCATGAACCTCTTTGAAAACCTATAGTCTGGCCTCGGAAACATCGCTTTCCATGAAAATCTATCTAGTGACATTCCCCAACCATGAAAATCGATCGCCTGTTCTAGTGGGTGACTGTGACCACCTAAAACTCCACATCTCGCCTAACGGACTCACACAATACGACGTAGACAGCCCCTAAAGGTCAAGCCTCAGCACATAACACTACTGACGGAAATGCTGTAGCGTATAATCGACCTCTGACAGACAGCCGGATGTCCCGACGGCACCACGTCTCAACTTGGTAAATGCCAACCGAGCCCTCTGTACGCGTGCTGACACTTTATCTGCGATGCATTCACCAGAACTGGACTACTTTCTCTATTGCTTCCTCGATTGGAATGAAGTTGAGAGCGAGATCCACCTAGTCCGGCAGCAAACGTTTGCACTTTAGGGGTGCAAAACGCATACTGAACATGGTTACACAAGCGAACAAACTATCCAGAAAAGTATGTAACTTACCTGGATCTTCATTTAACACTACAACGTCTTTTGCATACTCCAAAGCAGACTAGAAGAAAATCGATATCGCTCTCCTCGAACGAGGATAGAGCTGTTTCCGGAATCAGATCCATCACAAAAATAAATAGAAAGTAGAGTGAGGGTAACTCTAATAAACATCGCTTTCATTCGAAAAAATCCCGTGAGAACGGATCCAGCTTTGGCTATTAGAACAGAAAAATCACAACATCGAAATCAACATCTCGGATACATACTTCTGGGAGAGGTAGTGACAGACTGTAGAATGTTAGTCTCCGTCAAAGACCGCTTTCAGATCGAGGAAGATAGAAATGGTGGATCGACGAAAGGAAATTTGGCGAATAGTGAAAATATGATCAATCCAGCCTCCACCAGGTCTAAAACCACTCGGATTCTCATGCGTGCACTCTTCACGTGCGACAGACAATCGACCAAGTGTAACGGTAACGGGATGTTTAGAGACGCTGTAGATTCACCATCCACTCTGCGGTGTTTACAAGAGCATCTTTCACTGTTCTTGTAAATCGGTGAGATGACCGATTCACTGTATATAGGATCAGAATGGCACAAACAAATCACATTCGTTAGCGCTACTGGATCAGGCAAATGAACCACCGACTGAGTGCAAACTGTGTCGCACTTACGCAACACATAGCAAGCAAGCCTTGAGATAGAAATTCAGTCAACCCATAAATCAAGTCGGAAGTATAAAAATTCAACTTCATTCCGTTAAAATAACACAGATAGGGCAAAAACTATGGCTCACTTTTGCGGCACGGTACAAATACATGCTATTGTTAGTGGCTCGGNCAAGCAGGGCATATCCACTTCCAGCACTTCCATGACAGATCCCGCAACCCTTGTGAAGCAGACCGCGACGCCATATTGTATCTCCGGCTTTCATAGCCCGTTGCATGTAGGTGCCATCTCCGGTGATCTATGCGAAATAGGGATGAGGGGCGGGGCAGGGGGGGGGAGGGCGAGCGCGAAAAAGTATCTGATCCATGATTGGGCACAGTTTGAACATACACACACACACACACAGCCGCACACAGTTACGACACCAGTTACTCAGACTAGCTCATGACAAAACTGCACATCTGATAGTTATTCATTCATGATGTGCAGTGCGTGAAGTGCCTCCATTCCACCAGCAGGGGTAGGAGTCCATCACGGATCCAGTCGCAAACGTGCGTGTGTTTGTGTGTGTGCGGGGGTGGGACGGCAGTAGGCACAGATCTAAAGCAAGCAGTATGTCAGAAGGATACAACTGTCATCAGGACGACCGTGAGATCAAGAATGAGAGAAGTGCTATTCAAAACTGATCCAACATTTCAAAGACGGGGTGTGCGAAGAGTACACACATTGTTGCGTGACTAGTGTTGTGAGCAGTATGTTTGGATCACGCAAAAGAAAGTGCATGACCGTTTCTCCCAAACGGTTAAAAATGAACAAGACCTTTTAGCTCAAATTACTGTTTTCAAAATAGCAACTAGGCGAAATGCGTATCTGCCGCCGGAACGTTCCACGAATCATCCTGTGCTCGTGGGCGTTTTGAAGACTTGGTCCAAATGAGATGTTTTGTTGCGCGTATGCAAATTTACCGCTATTCGTGATAAATGACTTTCCTCGTCCCGGCATTGTCTTCTGGAGTTATAACATTAATAGTACTTCAATAAGCATTAGGCACTCTGCTTGCACTACAAAGTGATCGGTCAAAAGGAAGTGATTGTTCCAAAATTGCATTAAAATAAACAATGCGCCGAAAAACAAAAACATTTGGAGCCTGGATCCGATCCTGATTAGATCGGACAACATGATGACTGATGGTACTGTCAGAACGTGTTACACACTGTACAATGCAGTATGTTTCCGTGACCGCGGAATTTTGTTTTCTCGGTTGCAATAGATTTCAGGTTAACAGTGATGACGAAGGGGGTCAGTCTGTGTAATGCAATGGAAATCGAAGAATGCCGATATAGTCACAGTTTTTTCCCCTAGTCAAACAACCATCTGATTTTACGAATCGGTAAAATAAAACCGTGGAATCATCCTTGAAAAATAACCAATGGTGCGAATTCCTGCGTCAACAAAGCGAAATAGGAAATGATATGATAAGCGACACTCGTCATTTCGGACAATAATGTTTCAGTGTGCGTTGAATAGAAGATGCGATGAAACGATAGCAACGATATTTTTGTTCTTTTAGTGGCAATCACCCAATCCCCTTCAGTAAAATCAATGAGCAGAAACTTAACGAATGGGGCTTGTTCAAGGTTTCTGCATATGGTCCCACAGACTGTAGCCCGGATTTAGTCAAAGTTGCTTTTTATCACATCACACACAAGCTTCTTCTCAAAGCAGCCAAGACGGATATCGTGATTCTGGCCGGAGACAACAACACAGGCGTTGTCGGTCTGTCACCCGATGACATTCAACTTGGTGGCCATCATGGCCTTGGCAGCTGTCGTTTAGATAATGGGGATCGACTTCTGGCACATGCTTAGAACGCCTGTTCCTCGTTAGCACGAGTTTAACAACAACCGAAGCGTCACCTTGCCACTTGGCGTAACACCTCTTCGGAATATATGTGGACTCAGATTGATCATATAGCTATGAGCTATAAATGAAGAGGATGTGTGCGTTCGTATTGGTGTATCTGCTAGGATTCTGCTCACACGCTGGTTTGTGTCCTATTGTCTACGCGATTTGATGGCCGCCAAAAGATGGGATGCAAACAGCTTGACGTCGCCAAGCATTCCGACCAGGCCGTGCTGACCGACTACCAAAACGAGTTGGAAACAAGGTACCCCAACAAGAAGCGTAGAGAAACACTAAACAACCATTCAAAACGCAATGCACTCAGCCAGTTTACATAGTTGTGGCTTGACTAGCCGAGTCGCAAAACACTGAGTCTTTTTTAACTCACTCCGGATTCCTGACGCGCATCGGACCATCCCTGCAGACAGCGAGTACAATGAATAGTGCCTCTCTCTCTGAAGCGCGAAATGACAGACTGTACGCCACACATGGAAGGAATCGATTGTACGTTTCATCCACCTACAACCACAAGGGAATAAATCTGATCCCTATAGTCCATCAAGACGAGACTGCACCTTGACGTTGTGATGGCTTGCGTGCCTCCATGACCCTGCGAGCTATACAGGATGGCTTCTCACAGCCGTAGATTCAATCATGCCTGAAAGGTCAACGAGTAGGGGCCAGACGAAGCTCAGTCGCACAAAGCCAGCTGCTTGGGCACCTCCTGGCTTCCTTCATTCTATCCACACCCGCCCCTGGAGAGGCCACTCCAGCAAATAAACACGGTGAGGGGCAGTTACCCGAACGAAAACCCCCGCTAGATGGACGTAGGAGTGGGGATACCTGGG